CCAAAGTGGCTGTTGGCGGCATTGTAGAATTCAGGCGAGTTCAAGTAGAACGGGAACTCTTGCCTGTCGGACGGACTTCGACTGAAGTAGTACGCCTGGATAACGTCGTGGTAGACTGTGTGGGATATGGCCCATCTGGCTTCCGCACGATCTCCAACACGTCGTATCCACGGGCGCAGGTGCCGCAGCAGACTGGCCCACACCAGAGACGGCAAGTCGGGTGGTGGCGGCGGCGGATGCTGCTGGAACAGAGAGCGCTTGTCGTATCGGCTCTTGCTCATGTACGGATAGCGCCGTCGCATGCCAGCACCAGCACTAGCAGCAGTGCCAGTCCCAGCAGCATTAGAAGACGTGTCAGGGTTTTGCTGCGTAGATCGTGATTGGAACGATGCACGTGAGCTGAGCTCACCGAGGCGGTCGATGTGCCAGTCGGAGTGAACAAGTCCAGGCACTCTGGCTGACTGAGGCATGGTGCGTGCTTGTGTCCCGGACCCTGATGGCGACGGCTGTGTGTTTTCCGGCTCGTCGCCCACTTCATCAGTTCTGTCGAGTCCTGTCTGCAGTGAAGAGGAGATGCGGTGGCCAACAGTCAGTGCCGATGTTGATCGCGCCGCCGGCATTGACATTCTCCTACGCTGCTGCGGCATGCCTTCGAGAAATGCCTGCATCTGGTCACTGTTGTAGCTCCGCTGTCTCGACCTAGGTACAGATCCCGGTGGTGGCAGTTCCGTGCTACCATCACCTGAGTTGATGTTGTCATCGGTACTTGTATGGACACTCTGATGCTGAGACCTTTCCGGAATACTCTGCTGGGATTGGCCATGGTCCTCCTCATCGCCGATCGTGTCCTCTATCCTCCCGGAATCACTCTGCTCTGGCACAGCTCTGAGCGGGTGAGCTCCACTGATGGGAGAGTTCGGCAGGGGCATGTCATTATCCTCTCTTACTTCGTCGGCAGAGCTTGGGCTCCTCGCCTCACCTGATAGCCGTGCAACATCACTTTCAGATGAGAACTTGCCCTTGCTAGCCTTCAGTCTGCCAGTGAGTTGCCGATGGTGGTGGTGGTGGTGGCTGGTGTTCGCTGGAGCTGTAGTGGCGCACGCAGCACCCAGCATCTTCAGTAGCTCGGACTCCAGAAGGCCAGACCTTGAGCAGTGCAGCAAACACATCGTTGCAGCAATCAACACTTTGGGAAACTCGGGAAGCAGCTCCAGCTCCACAAGTCCATCGGTAAGCATCCTGTCAACAACCACACAGCACAGTAAAGGTGTACATGAGATCATTGCAATGCATGCTGGGGGAGATCTAGGGTCTTACTCTTACCACCCAGGAAGGTTCTTCCCCTCCCACTACATGACACTGGAGCAAGGCGTAGGTATGGTTGATACAGCTGTTATGTATCATGTGCAGCATGTCGGTACATACAAGGTTCATTACACCAACAACAGTACCACTAGTGATCACCTATTATATAAGTACTTAGACTGCAACCGCACGACGCTGAAAACTGAGTGCATGTATGCCAACTTAAATTAAAGAACTTGCGGCCGCACTACACAGCACATCATTTTTTTTAAGTAAAATGAAACATGGTAAAAAAATAAAAATAAAGTAAATTATCGTGTCCGTTCCCGAAGGGAACTCACGACGGCCGCTAACACCCGGTAAACCCTAGCGGCAGATGCAGCGCCTAACGGTGGGGGTGAGTGGGTAAGTCTCACAACCACTGGCACAAGTGCCAAGAACGACCCCATTAGCTGCATCCATGTACCCCTTGTGCCTGGCCACAAGTTCCCAGTTGACTGTGGGTAGCAGCACGGCTAGAAAAACCGCTCCCAGGCAGGACTTGAACCAGGTACCTCTCGTATCTCAATCATGGTCTTTGACCAACCCACTGTGCCTGCCTGGTAATGAAACATGGTAGCTCTGCACAACTTTGAGACTATGACCTGGAATGATGGAAACTGATGGTGTATGACTGTTACATGCAGTTTTCTACCTGGCGCAGCTGCAGCCTTAGGTCTGCAACAACATGCGTTGATTTGTTTAAGAACTTCACAATGACAATTGTTCTTCCTCACCCGACCAAATCATTATGCACTATGGTTTCCATTCTTTGCTCCAGCTCCAGCAGGCCGGCATCCGTATTGGCCATGTAGAATGACGACAGTTGACGGCAGGCCTCCGTCACCGCCATTGGCGTCCGGTCTTCCATCATGTCGATGAACTCGTACAGCTTGGTAGCGCCGAGACGAGAGCAGAGGGACTGGGGCAGCTGGTGACGCACCATGCTGAGGCAGTCCTGCCGACGGGGCATCTCCAGCTGAATGACCTCGGCCTGTGGATAGTGCGATCGAACAACCTGTGGACATTGACAAACACACACACACACACACACACGCACACACTCACACACTCACACACACACACACACACACACACACACACACACACACACACACACACACACACACACACACACACACAGGAACACATGCGTGGTCGTGCCACCACGCGCAAGGCCAGCCCTATAGACAGCGCGTATTGTGCATGCCGTGCTGAATGGGTAGTAATTATCTATTTCCTCCTCGTATTATTTTTAAGCATCACCAATGCACAACTACGTGACATAGTGCTTCTTACCTTCCAACATTTGTTGTTCGTCTCCCTTTGACTACATGTCAAAACGAGGCGCAAGTTTTCCGGCAGATTTCGAGGAAGCCACTTTTGCAAGTAGTTGCTCTGGGAGTCATTGATCTGGGCAAGTAGAGTTAGAAGACCACAGACCAACAGACCATGCACAGTATTATCAATACCAAGGCTGATGCATGGTTTGAAGGCAGGGGTGGGAATAATAATAATAATACATTGAACCGGCATCCTAGAAAAGAGTATTACATGGCTTTTGCATTGTCTTCACATCGGCAATACTCCCGGCAAATAGACCTCCAATCTAATGTCATGTGATTTTATGTCCTGTTACCAAGAGTAGATAAACAAGAGTGTGCAACTCCGGATCTCTTCTGCACAATCTGCAGATACCCCGCCCGTGGCGGAATTTTTTGTTGACGTCACCTTTTTTCAGAAGAACGCGCATTTTGCCCCAGAGCAGTGTGAGAGCACGTGCTGGGCACCAACTTTGTAATGTAAAGCCCGGCCAAGTGCACGAGGAAAAACTTTCCAAAAGACTCGCAGCGCGTGCATCGCCGAAAAGATTACGTCAACAAAAAATTCCGCCACGGGCCAACCCATCCCGGAGTTGCACACTCTTGTTTATCTACTCTTGATATTACCGGTATGTGAAATATGTGTTTGGGTGTTTTGGTGCATAGCAGTACTGGGGAAATACCATGCTGTTCATACATGGAACACAGGGGACATAGGGGTTCCATTGCAGTCCCTAAGGCTAAGATCGGCTCGGTGATTTCAAGTACACGTGCCGGTATGACTACCTGGTCAAGTTGGTCGATGAAAATGACGAGGCGTTCTGCTGAGCGTTTACCGAGCAGCTCAGCCACTTGCAGTGCAAGCTGTGTCAAGTCAGATGGTAACTTCCCAAGGTGAAACCTGTGCAGCTCCGAGATGTCCCAGATGCGTTGCAGCAGCACTGTCAAGTCTCTGGAACGAGGCTGAGCACCAGAAAAGTGGTAGAACACGGCCGAGCTCTTGCCAGCCTCGATCATGGAGGACAGTGAGGCCTGAAGATGCCTGGACACAGCCAGTGAAGGAAATAGGCAACACAACAGTTAAACTCACCAACTGCAGCGCAACATCCGTAAACATGGCAGCTTTTGCATCTCACCTGTCCCATCTCTGTTTCATGGACAACTTTAACTGAAATCATCACTGTGTGTGTTGGGGGCCAGGGGGGCATCATTGTGGCTTACCCTCGTTGTCCATGCATGGTGTATAGATGTCCGGTGTTCTTCAGCAGCTGACGTACACAGTGTGACAGTACTCCAGTTTTGCCACATCCTGGGTATGGCGAGCAAATCAGCAGTGGCGACGGACCTCCCTGATTTATGTAAGCTTGAACCTGCACATCAACAACAGCATCAGTGCAAGACTCGAAGCAGGTTGGATCCACAGCCATGATCACAGCCTAAACAAAGTGACAAGTAAATAGCCTGGGTGCAGAACCCTTGTGCAATCAGAAAGATCAAGTAAAACCTGATAATGCCATTTAAAAAACGTACCGATACCATTATTGTATTGATGCAATCTGGGCTACACTGTTGACATCGTACCACAATTATAACATTCAAAAACAAACCTGTCGTTCAACTGCCTTGAGATGCGGCAGTATTGGCCGGCTTATGTAGTCTGTCACATTGCGGGAGAGCTCTTCATTCTGTTGTTTGCAATACCTCTCCATGATGTCCACTGTTGGACTCTCCATACCGGCCGTTGTCTGGAACTGCTTGCGAATTCTGCATTCAGGTCAGATTTGAGCGGCAACAACCAACCCCAGTCATTCGTCCACTCCACAATTTAGCACCGAGAACCGATTTTTACGCTGTGCTGTGTTTGGGAATCAACTTCCTATTATTTGCTAAACCAATGGACCCGCTACTATAACAGCATGGTAGGCCACGTCCTGCTGAATTCCATCTTCATCCTGGCAACAATGGCATTGCATCAAGCCTACAGGTTTGATTGGTAATGGCTTGCTTCAACTCTACACATCTGAAAGATCTCGCTTCCACTGCAGGCTAAGACCATGTCCACTAGAAAAAAGGTTACTTATCACCAGCGCTTTGATACTCCGAATCCAACCAAATCTAGCCCAGATAACATGACAATGACTAAGGCTAATAATGGGTACCAGTGTCACCGTCATACAGTGCCACACTCACTCACCTCGCTTTGAAGAACGACTGCACATGGTTGCCGCAGACTTTCAGTCCTTCCAGTGCTAAATGCCTGCTGCTGCAGCAGCTGGTGGGGCTGCCTGCGCTGTGACCTTGATCTGGGCTGACACTGCCGGTACTGTCACCTCCCGCTGGCTGGGACTGCACTGAGGCTGAACACTTGTATGTTATCACTTGTTCCTGCTTGACAACATTCATTTGAGTAATGTAGAGAGAGATACAGTATGAAGCTAGTGCCACATAAAGGACAAGGACTTGATCCCTGTGAAGGCCGCTGAGTGTGTACAACTTGATACTATTCAGTCATTCCAAACACCAACAACCAATTGCCAACTCAATCATCACTGGTAGCAGACATGTTGATAGAGTGAGTCGCACAGAGTACAAGTGGTGAAGGTACCAAGGTGCACATTGGATTATAACAACAGACTGATTCTTACGGCTAAATTTCTGTTGTCTCTTAGCAAGTCCACTCTGAAAATTGGGGTTTTGTGACAGATCGAAAGTGCTATCTTCAGTGATCACCCGGCTCTGAAACTAAGAGAGGTAATCGGGTATGATGGCTTGTAAAGAAGTAATGTACTCTGCCAAATGTGCATAGCATGGAATAAAGATGACTCACCGGAAAGCGCTCCATCAGCTTGTGTTTGAAGTGTTTCACGCCGGCCTGCATGTAAACATCTTCATAGCAGTCTCGCGCTGCTTCAGGCAGGCTGTCTAAAAAGCTACGGTCGCGGAACAGGAACAGAGCTGCATGCCATTGCACAAAAAAAGAAGCAGCGTAATGATCCGTGAACAGTACATGACGCTGTAATGCGCGAATGGAGAGATCATGAGTGCTGCAACTGAGCTGCAAGTGAAATCACCTCTTCAATCAGTTTCAGCAGTGATCTTGTACATGCATGAAGGGTAGATGCAGCTCATGGTGAGATACACTTGTCAGAGGGACACCACACGCCCAGCAGCCCTGTAGCTCATGGTGAGATACACTTGTCAGAGGGACACCACACGCCCAGCAGCCCTGTAGCTCATGGTGAGATACACTTGTCAGAGGGACACCACACGCCCAGCAGCACTGTAGCTCATGGTGAGATACACTTGTCAGAGGGACACCACACGCCCAGAAGCCCTGTAGCTCATGGTGAGATACACTTGTCAGAGGGACACCACACGCCCAGAAGCCCTGTAGCTCATGGTGAGATACACTTGTCAGAGGGACACCACACGCCCAGCAGCCCTGTAGCTCATGGTGAGATACACTTGTCAGAGGGACACCACACGCCCAGCAGCCCTGTAGCTCATGGTGAGATACACTTATCAGAGGGACACCACACGCCCAGAAGCCCTGTAGCTCATGGTGAGATACACTTGTCAGAGGGACACCACACGCCCAGCAGCCCTGTAGCTCATGGTGAGATACACTTGTCAGAGGGACACCACACGCCCAGCAGCCCTGTAGCTCATGGTGAGATACACTTATCAGAGGGACACCACACGCCCAGAAGCCCTGTAGTGTGAATGGGAGCTCACAGTTGTATTTTGGAAGGGCCTTGAAAACACCTCGGAAAACATTGCGGTCCTTCCATCACCTTACCGTTGGGCGATTTGTTCCGGTATACGGCATGCACGCACATCATCTCCAGCAGCGAGAGGCCATGTATCCAGCCAAACTGCTTCTCCACAGCAGGGGGTACATCATTTCTTTCTGGAATCCAGCCAAGTGTTTCGGACATCAAGCCCAGAAAGAGTGTTGGTACGCCATCCTCGGTGCATCTGCAGAATCAAAACATGCGGATAGGTACACTTAGACAGTCATGTGTGACTAGTATACATTATACTGACAAGCAGAGCCGGTAACAGGGTGGGGGGGGGGGGGGGTAAGGAGGACCCAGAGAGATGGGATGGGGCGTGGGGGAATCAGACTAACCTATGTTAGGCATTCCTGATTGGCATTGCACAGGGCAACAGGCAACTATCCGGCTGCCCTTGCTCACTGAGATGCTAGAAAATACCTTATGGGCAGTCCGTGTGAAAGTGTGTGATGCTTGTTGATGGCATTGGAGCCTGCAGGACCGGCGGAAGCAGTTTTTGGCTGGTCCGGCTATACACTATACACTGTACTAGTACCCTAGGCTTTTATACAGTTTGTGTAGGATATGATCATGGGTAGGCATGACCTGCTCATCAGTAAACACATCAGTGTAGGATATGATGGGGAGGCATGACCTGCTCATCAGTAAACACATCAGTGTAGGATATGATGGGGAGGCATGACCTGCTCATCAGTAAACACATCAGTGTAGGATATGATGGGTAGGCATGACCTGCTCATCAGTAAACACATCAGTGTAGGATATGATGGGTAGGCATGACCTGCTCACCAGTAAACACATCAGTGCAGGATATGATCGGTAGGCATGACCTGCTCACCAGTAAACACATCAGTGTAGGATATGATGGGTAGGCATGACCTGCTCATCAGTAAACACATCAGTGTTGGTAGCCAATAAGTTGGTCCGGCCACGGCCTGACCAACGTGACCGGTTCCGCTGGGCCTGATTGGAGGTATGCAACATGTCCTTCCACTGGCACCGGCAGGCTGAACAGTATACTCAGGCTTGCACGGACCAATATAATTACGTAAACATGATGTTAAATGGGTAAAAGTGTTGCGTCAAAATTAGCCCCGTGTTTCGCGAGTCAATGCTCTCTTCTTGCGAATCACTGCCTAGTCGGCTTGCCCCTGGAGTCACAGTTCACAGTTACAGCTTGCACTTGCATGAACACATTACCTGTCTATTTCCTCCATGCAGAGCTGTAGATATGCAGAACTTGTTGGTTCCTTGTCCAGGGACTGCAGAGAGCACCCGGAACAAAATGCAGTTGTTGGCAAATAGGGTCATCCCCGGGAGACAATTGAATATCTGGAAGCCAGTCTTCTCCGGATCAGATCAGCCAGAAATTGACAACCGGGGCTTAATGCCATGCCAATGCTATCACGATGAAGAAATTACATGACTGGAAGCAAAAGAAATCATTATGGCTGAGTGATTTTATGCTAATAGTAAGTGACAGATGGGCGAGCAGTTGAACACTGCTAGTCAGCTGATATTAACTTACAGAAAATAAGTCAACAATGATGAGGTGGATGTGCTCCACTTCACACCAGTGTTGAAGAACGCGAAAGGCATGGTCATGAAGACTCCGGCGCTCCTGAAAACAGCAATCACCACAAATAGAACAGTACAATCCTTACTACTAGTATTTTATAGGGCTGCAACGGGTAGGGGTTTGGTCGGGTAATGGGTTCGGGTATTTTATCCGTGTAGCACGGGTATCCTATCGGGTGTTTTTGACATAGCTCGTACAGTGAGTGTGCACTTGCGCTACATAGAACGTGTACAGTAAGCACGTAGCCGTGCTTTTCAGATGCACCGTTGCAAAAACACGGTACTCCAACTACCCGATCGGGTTCTCAGGAACAACTTGCCGCTACCCTATAACCCGACTTAATTACGGGCAGCATGGGTACCCTACTACTGGATGACACCCCGGTAGTACTATTGTATCACTGTCTGTATCACTGTCTGTATCACTGTCTGTATCACTGTCTGTATCACTGTCTGTATCACTGTCTGTATCACTGTCTGTATCACTGTCTGTATCACTGTCTGTATCACTGTCTGTATCACTGTCTGTATCACTGTCTGTATCACTGTCTGTATCACTGTCTGTATCACTGTCTGTATCACTGTCTGTATCACTGTCTGTATCACTGTCTGTATCACTGTCTGTATCACTGTCTGTATCACTGTCTGTATCACTGTCTGTATCACTGTCTGTATCGAACCACACCAAGCCTAGAACATTCAACAAGGCAGATGCGCACAATCATGGGAATATTCAAGGCAAACTGGTCTTCACTTGGCCTTACCGCATGGAAATCGTGTAGGGGTGCACAAACAAACAGCCTAAGTGTAAGCCAGCCATTGCTCCTCGACTCTCTGCTCGGTGCTGTGGACTGAGACCATAGCTCAGTACACTCAGCATCACTCAGTGATGTGCCATCCACCAGGTCCCACAAACTCTGGGCATATGCACCATCCAGGTTATCGCCAGCAACACCAGTACCAGCACCACCGTCAGGCGAGCGGAATAGCTCCAGTGATCGGCTGGTGGCAAGTTGGAACACTTGGTGCCGGGCAGTTGCTGTCAAGCCATTGTTACCGAACCCTTCTTCACCCGCACCATCATCACCATTGACGATGATGATTGGGCTGGCGGGGTTGGCATCGCAACAGCCTACGGGATGAACTCGTCCATGGTGTCGACGGCGGCGTTGGCGATATCCAAGGACACTCCGAACACTACTTGGGACGCTGCCCATTGGTACCCTTGCACACACAAGAAGCCGACTGCTCACATTGGACAATGCAATAAAGGGTCACGGCCCAATATTGGCGAACGTCTTATTGGAGGTGGCATAGCAAATTGGGAATGTACGTTGTGCAGGTCATAATGCTAATAATGCGATGATCATCTCGAGTTGTATCATTCTGCACTGCAGCTCCACGCTGGTGCACGCCATCATCTGCAGCACTACAACTGAGTAATGTTCTCCTATTCAAACCAGCAGCACTGCAATGGTCCACACCGGCGGTTTGGTGCGATGACTGTTCTCCCACTTCACCATGAAGATCGATGCCGTCCAATTCCAGTGCTTCATTGATTCGATCAAATCAGAAAATTCAGCCTGGTAAGTTAGAAGTCACCATCACCGCCAACACTGAATAGGTCTAGACAAATCAGGAGCTGAGGTGCTGGTGCCCTTCAAGGACCATAGGCTGGTGCCCTTCAAGGACCATAGGTAGATGATTCGCTTCGGTTGTTTGAAGAATAAGGCCGTAAGGGCGAACCAAGTCGACGGTGTTCCGCGTGTCAACGAGATAAAGAGAGGTCCGTCATCGCTTTTCGGATTCCGCTGAAGTCACGGTCCAACGCGTAGAAGACGATGGACACGGCGCGGGAACGGAGTGCCACAGACCTGCTATCGCCGTGGGGCGATGCGTAGTTCCAGTTATGATCATGCTTGGTTATCCTCACAGCGGATTCGGCTAACTTTGCAAACTGATGCAGTGATGGCCGTAGAACGTCAGGGTGGTCCATCAGTGGACAATTCCCACGCTCCGTCTGTTTACATCCACGACAGTCTTGTATCGGGCTGGTGACACATTGAGTAATTGCGGTGTTGCCACGGTATTCCAGCAGCTCAGGACAGTCCTCTGCCTCCAGTGGACTGAAAAAGCATGGTGGAACCACACAGCTTGCCATCCACGAAGCGCAAAGGGCCACCCATCACGGTTGATTTGTTACTCGTCCTGTCGTCAGTTCGCTCTTCGGGGTATTCGTGTGTTTTGATGACTCTGCACCAAACTCTGTACTCGTAGTCCGGCTACTGCGGCAGCACTGAGCACACGGACAGGGATGGACGGGAGTACGGATAGGAGGTTCGTGGTAGGTGACTGGTCTAAACACAAACAGTGGATGAGGACACACTGCACAGTGCGCACGCCCTCGCCACTACCAAGTAAGGACATCATCATTAGTATCATTAGTACATTACCGAATTTACCGGCATCACTGCATCAGCGTCACCATGGTCACCATGCGGAATGATCACGATCTCCACTGACAGTCACAGTCAGTGACAGTGTACTTGGTCAAAACCTCCAAGTGGCGATGGTTCATTGGTTGACAGGTCAATCAGGGCGCGTGATCTCCGCGTTTCCCCTTCATGCAACCGCGCAAACCGTCCGTAGATCATGGTAGACTGCGGAGTCCGAACACTGAAGCCTGAACTGAAGCCAAGGGAAGCAACTAAGACTAAGTAATTACTCTTCGTTGAAATGGTCCAGTTACTACTAGCATGTTTGAGTTTGTGGGGCTTGTTTAGTTTAGGCCGGAGGCTCTAAGCTTATTGAGCGGAGGGGATCTCCTCCCATAGAGAAAGACTACTGTCAGTACTGATACAATCATGCACAGCCGGCCTGTCAGTGAAACCTGCCTTAGCCGACCACGCACGGGCCCTTTAATAATGTGGTCCCCGTGACCCGTGTACAGGCGGTCCCCTTATCAAGGGTCTTATGCATTTATTTATTTAGTTTTAAAAGGATTCCCCAAAGGCTGTTCGCCTGTCGAGGGGTTTCTTGTTTTCGCTTGAGTGATGAAATACGTGGGATGGGAAAATTGGTAAGAGAGGGAGGAAGAGAAAAGCAGAAGAAAAATTATGGCGTCAAGGTCAAGTCTTTGCAAGAGTACGAGTATCGATGCTGCAAAAAAAGCGCATACGAAAAAGTTATATTAGCGGAAGGGGGGGGGGGGTACTAGTGTCCATTGTGTTGTGGATTTCCGATTTGGTCCGGGACTTTGTGGGCCTCTAGGACAGGTGGTTGCCTTTTCAGAGTGGTCGCCAAGCTTGACAAGTACTAGGTTCCACTGTACTCTTTGTATGCTTGGTCGTAGTTCTTTCTCTTCTGAGCTAGCTACTCGCGAAAGGAAGTTTTCATGATATCCGACACCTCCGAGTTTCTAGCAAGCATGTATTGTGATCTCGTCCATGGATTCAGATATCAAAGTGTCAGCGGCTTTGAAATAGCTTGAACCCTTCCTTGCTTCTGTAAGTGTGCGCAAGTTTCTAGGCATATGCGGATAATGCCGGCAGAAAAATTGGCAGAATTCGGTACTTTTTCTGGTAAGTTTCATGCATGTTTGGTATGTGGATAAAGAAATGGAGCAGAATTCGAGGAATTGCCCGCCATAAGGTTTGTATGGTTCTGCCAATTTCACTGCTCTTCGAGCATTATCCGCCAATGCCTATGCGCAACACTATCTTCATACCCAGCTCCGGGAGATGCATCGCTTACCACATTCTTGTATATTCTGATGAATTGGGCGTTGCGCCCTACGTGGTAGCTCGTGCTTTTCTTGCCGACTTGAATTCACGTTTGACTGACTCACGACTGCCATCCAGAGCACACGAGAAGCCCATCGAACCTTCCACTCGGCAAACCTGCAAGAAAACCGACCACTCCGTGTTCAGTGTCTCGGGGAATTCACCCCTCATCAGTTGTGTTGAGCTTGAGTAGGCTAATGACATTTGTGGTCCGAGAGCAATGCATTATGTACATGTAGTTACAGCCTCTTTTACGGGCAAAATACACACTATGAATATGTTTTCCCAAGTGTTCCACAAAAATTCATGTAGTACTCTCCAAGCAAAACATCACGAGGGATACCAACCTACATTCCGTTTCCAGCGCGACAAACACCTCAAAGAAAAACCTCTTCTTCGTACAGTGAGTTGTCCCCAGCACGGGCTTGCTACCACTTCATGGTTTGGAGGCAAGAACGTTGTGAATGGCCTCAGGCTGATGATCAGCGCTTGTTCTACACCTACATGAGCGACACTGACTCAAGCTGCTGACTGAAGTTCGCCAGGGGTTTGTCGCTCTGGAAACGGTGTTTCACTGCAAGTTGGTATCCCTAGTGATGTTTTGGCTCGGAGAACACTGCAAAATTAATGGAGTGCTCTCGGAGCACAAATTTCATTAGCCAGCTGCCTACTCAAGCTCAACTGATGAGGGGTGAACACAGTTGGCAGTGAAAGCGGGAGCTCAGAGTCCCCCATAGGCCAACACACCTATTCCTGAAGTATCGGCGGAGTCGCTACAAACCTCTTCTTGTACATCCTATCAAGGATAACACTAGTACAAGTACAAGTAGTAGCAATGGTAATAGTGTAAGACAGCGTAAAGGCATAAGCATTATGTACAGAACATGTACGCTCAATCTCCGGACAGCTACATGTAGCTGTTTCGACCTTTTAAAAGTTTAACTCAAAG